GCTTTTGGTGAGAGGATTCACGTCTGTTTCCAAAAAGGAAGAGAAGATCAGGTGGAGAGATCTTCAGTCTTCTCTGCCAAAGGGGTTCCTAAGACTGTAAGAAATATATGTTTTCAATGGTCTTTGGTGATCCCTCTGAAGCTCCCTAGTGACCCTGAGGTTGAGAAGCACTGCTGCAGATCTTAGAAAGCTCTTTCTTGATTTAAGGGGTTGGCATGCTAGCTGATATCCGAACAGAGGATGTCCCGGAGATGTCCCTCCTTTGGTCCTTTCATTGCTGGCTGCCACTTCCCGGCGGATGAATGGTGGTGCAATACCAGCTAAACAGTATAATTTCCCCAGTGGTATTGGGCATAGACATCCTGTGATAATGTGGCATGTCTCATTAAGAGCCACATCCACTGTTTTAAGGTGGTGAGATGTATTCTACGCTCGGCATATGTACTCAGCAGCAGAGTAGCAAAGCACAAGGGCAGATGTCTTCACTGTGTCTGGTTGTGATCCCCAGGTTGTGCCAGTCAGCTTTGGTATGATATTATTTCCAGCGCCCACTTTTTGCTTGATATCCAAGCCGTGCTTCTTATAAGTTGAAGCACGGTCCCGAGTGAGTCCCAGGTATTTGGGTGTGCTGCAATTCTCCAGTGGGATTCCTTCCCAAGTAATACGGTATTACAACTTGATTCAACACGACACAATATTCAGTTGTGAAAATGAATGGTCATATTTAGGCCTGCTGGTAATTAAAACTGATAAATGCTGTGTCTACTTTTTTGTTTATTAAATAATAAAGCAATTATATTTTATGGGCACACTTGACTATCTCTAACCATTAGCTTGTCTACTCCCATGGTTAAGTCTGAAGTTTTGCATCATTATTAAATGGATGTAATTGTGCTGAATCTGAGATAATACTTTTACCTTTAAGATGTTATCAGAAGCGACTCTTTTCGGACAAAAATACGTACCCAAAAATACGTGCAAAGAATGAACATGTTGGCGTCACTATCATGTTCCATGCACTTTAAATAGATGTGTGCCTTTAATGCAGGTATGAGTAAACCCAAGCCCGGCCCCCCGATGTGGTCCCTTGGGCTCTTGTCCCAGACCCTCCTCTCTCTCACCATCCTACCCTTCCTTCCTTCTCTTTCCTTCCCTTCCACCCTTTGGTCCTTCCTTCTCTTTTTCCTTCCTCTTTCCTTCCCTTCCACCCCATTTGAGACCTTGCCCTTCCCAGTTAGCTCAGGCAAAAGCAGACTATTACAGTGCCCTTCTATGTGTGCATCCACACTCTAGTTTGACCCCACTTTAATCTCTAGGGCTCAAGGCTATGGAAGCCTTGGATTTGGGTAGCATTAGAGCAGTGGTTCTCAACCTTCCTAATGCCACGACCCCTTAGTACAGGTCCTCATGTTGTGATGACCCCCAACCATAACGTTATTTTCGTTGCTACTTCATAACTGTAATTTTGCTACTGTTATGAATTGGAATGTAAATATCTAATATGCAGGATGCATTTTCAGTCACTGGACCAAATTTGGCACAAATACCCGATACGCCCAAAATTTGAATATTGGTGGGGTTGTTGGTGTCATCGAGGGCAGCGGAGGCCCCCGCCTCCAAGTTGGTCTGATGTGCAGCGGAGAGTTCCGTAGTTCCTAGAAGCCACAATTGGAACAAACTGATGAAATGTGCCCCAACAGACAGCTCAAAACAGGGACCGCATTCATCCTCTATGGCTTTCTATCACTTTCCCCCAAGCCCTAACATTGTAACTATTCCCCAAATAAAGATACTTGAGATTGCAACTTTTTAACTTTTCCGCTTGATACTTTGTGTCTCTCCCTGCCTGAACTATCAGCTTGCATGAAAATAACCTTTTCCAGGCTCCGGGGAACCGCGAGCCTGCCCGGAATGCTTCCCTCGTGTTCCAGGGATGCCGTATCTGCGTTATTTGAAACCGCGGATATGGAGTTTCTCCTTTTGGATCTCGGTATCCACAAAATCATAAAATGGCAAATCGGCTCCATTTTAATGTCATATTTTTCTGTACTAAATTCTAGACCTATCTGCTATCTCACTTTTCTTATTTTGGATCCCTACGCCCGGGAAATAACTTCTCGGTTTTTTGAGAATATATTTTATTAGAAACAGCTGATTGTCAAAGATGCCGGTTCCATAGCAGCCATTCCATTGCTCCCCACTGCCGCTCGCCCCTGCCAAGCTCTGGACACGGGGACTTGATGTGGTTCCCCCATGGGACTTCGGAGAGGAGCCTGGCCAGGGGGCCCCGGACCTTGGGAAGAGATTCTAGTTTTCCAAGGACCAAAATGTGGATCCATTGCAGTACGGCCGGAGTCCCATCTTCCAGCCTTTGCAAAGATCAAGGACTTTCTGTTGCCTGTTCGGAACTTCAGGAAACACTATTTCTCATGAGCTTTTCTCAGAAACATTGGACTCAAAGTCTCCAAATGAAATTAATTCTTTTATTAAATATACTTGGGATGTGGGACCAGGATGGGGTTTTTGTTGCTATGAAATACTTATGATTTGAATGTATGTATCTTCCTATGAAATATCTTTTGTCCTTTTGCTTTACCCTTGACCCCTTGCCCAACCTTAGAAAGGCGACCAGGAAAACAAATCAGTGCCCGAGGGGGGCTGTTGTCCCCACAAAACTAACATTCCACAGACGTTTGCATGGACAATAGCAAAGGAAGTTTTCCATTGGTTTTCTGAGTTGGTCTGATCAATGGATGCTTCCCACGGACTAGTTTCGATTTTTACAAACAATGCGGGCCAGACTTCTCAACAGGGAGTCTTCTGCCCAGCTCCGTCTTCCTTTACCCAGTACACAAAGCAAACTTCTCTTATCAGACCAGGGACAGGAAAACTCTTCTTAAATCAATCAACTCTTCATCAACAAAACAATAACTCAGTGCCTCAGCTGGCCGATTCCCCCCGGACGCAGGGACATGTATGTTTCAATATGTCATAATCCCATTACCTTCCATTGTCCCTGATCGTGCCACCTCCTCTTCCCTGATTCGTCAATCCCCAGAAGCGGGGAAAGCGTCCTGATAGGCTCCCCAGAAGCGGGGAACCCTTGTGATTGGCCCAGGCTAGGGGCGGGCCACCAAGCCTCCTCCCAGCTGTTCAAGCCACCAGCTAATCACCTTCAAGCTGGGCGGGGAAGGGCGGGTGAGAAATTTGAAATCTCTGCACATGTTTTGCTATAAAAATGCTTCCAAACTTTGTATTGGCATGCTTGCATGTGAATGATCACTGCAATTGCATCCGCTTCAGCTGAATCGCTCAATAAACCTCGGTGCCACTTCTTCGCCTTGGCAAGAGTCTAATTTCAATTATTAATATTAATAAAATTGCTGGAATCAGGCTTCTCTGACGGCTCGCCAAGGTCATGGACCCTCTTTGGTGCGGACCTAGGGGCCTCTCTTACTGGGGAGACCCTCCTAAAGTCCGTATTGACTTCATTGGGGGTGATTGATTTTGTCATTTGCTGGAGTTGCTGGGATTTATAGTTCACCTTAAATCAAAGAGCCTTCTGAACTCCATCAATGATGGAATTGAATCAAACATGGCACACAGAATTCCCATGACCAAGAGAAAATACTGGGAAGGTTGGTGGACATTGACCTTGAGTTTTTGGAGTTGTAGTTCACCTACATCCAGAGAACACTGTGGACTCAAGCAATGATGGATCTGGATCAAACTTGGCACAAATACTCAATATGCCCAAATGTGAACACTGGTAGAGTTTGGAGAAAATAGACCTTGCCATTTGGGAGTTGTAGTTGTTGGGATTTATAGTTCACTTAAAATCCAAGAGCATTCTGAACCCCACCAACGATAGAATTGGACCAGATTTTCCACACAGAACCCCCAGGACCAACAGAAAATACTATGTTTTCTGATGGTCTTTGGCGACCCCTCTGACACCCTCTTGTGACCCTCCCAGGGTTCCTAATGCAGGTTGAGAAATGCTGCATTAGAGTATATTGATCAGATTGATATACAGTGTACGAGGACATCTGATGTATATACCTAAGATTAAAGTACATTCAGTTATAAGTTGGCCATCCCCACTTTTTCTCAAAATAATAATAATAATACCCTTTATTTATATCTCCCCTAAGGAACTCAGAGCAGATTTCAGTTTACATAAATAAGGAATTCTTTGAATGCCTTTTTACACGGTGAACTACATACAATACACAGATAGAGAGAGGTAAAGGCCTTCCCATTTCCATCTCTGGCGCCTGGAGGCGATGTTCAACTCCGGCCATGGGGAAGTACTCCTATTCCATGCCAAGGAGCCTGTTGTCCATAGACTGTCTTGGATTGTTGCCAGCATGTCTACATGGGGCACCCTTTTACCTCCCCGCCAAGGCGGTACCTATTGATCTACTTGCATTGCATCCTTTTGAACTGCTAGGTAGGCAGAAGCTAGGGCTGACAACCAGGAGCTCACCCCAACTCGTGGCTTCAAACTGCAAACCCCCTGGTCAGCAGATTTATTTCAGCTAGCAGTTTTAACCTCTGCGCTACAGCAACCCCACTGGATTGCTGTACTTGTATATTTATAATTTTACTTGAACTAGACGTATACTGTATGTATTGTCTGTTTTGATTAGGCCAATTGGCTGATCAATAAAATTGTTTTGGTTTCGGTTAAGGGTAGCATTACAAGCTCTCCCCAAACTACAAACCCCCTGATTCCATTGCACAGCAGATTAAGTGGTGTCAAACTGCATTCATCCTTCAATGTAAAGGCACCTTATGTTGCTCTTTAGGAAATTTTGCCGTCTTGACTCCGCTCTCCTGCTGCTGGGCCAGAAAAGTCCCAGTTTTCTGGCCCACGGGATGTGAGATTTGGGGGTCGGTAATGGTTCCCTCATGATGCCACTTCTCACACGATACCAAGATCCCTCCCAACAACTTAGCCATGCCCTGGAACCCTACTCCTTGTCATATTTCGGTATCTGTTTCCCCAGAGATACATTTGCTTTCATCTTTTGAGCTGCCTAACATCAGTTGGAGCAGCAGAACCAGTTTCAAAGAGTATATTTGCTAGTAGCACAAGTACAATAAAAGTCCCATGTTGATCTTTATGGCTTCCAAGAAGACATGACAGCAAGCATTGAACAAAGAAATAGTGGATAGGCCCCAATTTATGGAACATTTCTCTCGCCGATATGAAGTTGAATAGGAAAGGATGCACGCTATTCCCAGATGTCGGAAGTGGAATCTCCGCCGGGGTAGCGCATCTCTCTTGCCCGAGCCGGACCGAACGGCTCGTGTCCAAAATCCACCAGGAATTCCGGTCTCACTTTTAGGCCGCCCTGCACAGTGTTCACGTCCAGCTGGATCATGATCGAACCTTCCCTGGAAAAGACATAATGTGAGACAAAAGTCAAAGTTGTGTGCCGTCAAGTTGTTTCCAACCCATGGACACCTTATCATGAGGCTTTCCGAGCTGGATGTGGACAGAAGAGGCCTTTCTTTGAGATAGCCAGAGTGTGACTCATCTAAGGCCAGTCTTACTTGAACTGCTTGGGGTAAAACTGCTTGTCCCAGGCCGTGAAAATTGAGTAGGTGACGAAGAGACGGGTGCCGTCTAAGCTCAGCTGCAACATTTGAGGCCCTCCTTGGACTTTCTTGCCCTAAAGACAGCAGGGAAGAAAAAGCCCCAGGATTAGGAAACATCTAAAAAGAACTACAAAACACAGAAAGGCCAGATTTCTCTGTTGGCCTTCTCAAAATCAAGTTGGGAATGTAATGGTGCTGTTACACTCCAGAACAGGAATAACCCTCTGATTTTAAAACACCACACGTTGAGTAGGAAAACAATCCTTTTATTGAAGATAAGTAAAAGCAGCAAAGTAGAAAAAGCCCTTTAAGGGAATAGGCAAATCCAATTAGGTAAGAAGATAAGCAGGAACAAATTAGTCCAAGGTATTCCTTCTCAAAATCAAGTGGGGAATGTAATTGCACTGTTGCACTCCAGAACAGGAATAACCCTCTGATTTTAAAACACCACACGTTGAGTAGGGAAACAATCCTTTTTTATTGAAGATAAGTAAAAGCAGCAAAGTAGAAAAAGCACTTTAAGGGAATAGGTAAATCCAATTAGAAAGAAGATAAGCAGAAACAAATTACTCCAAGGTATGGCTCAGCAAAGTTCACAAACAAAGTCCAGACTTCTGTAATAAAATCCAATGAAACAGGGAAATGTTCATCCAAGGCATGAGTAGGTAATTACAAGAGACAAAGAGACAAACCATACAGCAAGAAATCCGTAAACATGAATCTTCCGAGCAAGGCTTTCATGAGAAAAGAGCAAGAACTTAGCAGGAATCTGAAACTATGTTTCATCTGACTATATTTCTCATTCGTGGAACTTTATATCCTCACATTAAGCTATTCCAAGCGCTCAGAAATTGGTTTCACTTTAGCGTAATACCTCTCATCCTTATCTGTCGAAGCCTGGCAGAACGCCAAAGGCCTTGGTCGAGCTGTCTGTTTTGGCTAATTTCCACCCTCCTGTCTATATGCTCATTAGTTCCTGCAGGTGCCAAGTTGTTTTCAAACCCCAAATCCTGGGAGCTCTCTGGGAGCAATTCAGGGAATAAACTCTCATCCCTATACCCCGTAGGAACATTCTCATGGGAAACTACACTTTGAACCGGCGTCTCTATGTCATTCTCTGCATTAATGTCATTGACCAAATCATTGCCAAATTGATCCTCATTGACATCATTCCCCACATCCAAAGCACCTTGATCTTGAAACACAATCACAGCCTGAACTCCAACATGGTCAAATCCAAGGTCTCCTATTTGGAAGACCAGAGTTCTATGCAGACTGTTTAGATCTATATCCAAATCTGTCTGGTCCATCATTGACCTTACCTGAATCACAAAGGGATCGGGTTGACAGTCCAGCTCCAGATCCTCAAGGACAGTTACAGGACTCCCTTTCTCAAGGCTGCCCCCCACAAACACCTAAAGATCCCAAAGAGACAAGGTCAGTTGGGCAGTAAAAGCAACAGTGGCAAATAAATGGGAGTCCCTGGTCCCATCGTCCCCAGCCAGGCAAATAAATGGGAGTCCCCTGGAGTGATGGAATCCAACTTGTGGAAACTTATGGTTATGGAAGGTTGCAAACTTACCTGCCCGACCAGTTTGGGACAGTATGGGTCTGTGATATCGTATTGCCGGATGTCGCCATGCACCCAGTTGCTGCAGTAGAGGAACTGGTCATTCAGGGAGATGAGCATATCAAAAATGAACCCTGGAGGAGGAGCAGGATCATCAAGTCACAGGAGACCCTGAGGGCAAGCCAGTTCAGACTCCTTCTGAAGACACGGTCCAAGATCTCCCAACAGATGGCCATCCAGCCTCTGCTTCAAAACCTCTGGAGAAGGCAACTAACCTGGCATTTCGGGATAGATCCATCCCGATACTTTCTTGTTCGGGATTTGGATCACTTTCTCAGCCCTCCAGCATCCATCCTACAGAGAAACCAAAAGTGACTTGTGCGATAGAAAAATGGACTTCCTGCCTATGGTTTTCCTTGGAGGGAGTTTGCCGTTGCCTTTCCCTGAGGCTGAGAGAGAGTGGATTTCCATAGCGGAGTAGGGCACCAAACCATGAAATCACCCTGGATCCCCACAATCAATCGGCTTCCTTCACAGCCACCCTTCCTTTTTTCACCTCTGACTTGAAGAAATGGTGGATGGAGCCCTCTAGGGGGCAGGCCACGTAACCGTGGACCGAGTTGGGGTTGTGCAAGAAGCGGATCTGCATCGGAGCCGAATCTTCGCCCACGTCAATCGAGTGGAGGAGGCGGTGGGTGGTCCAATCCCAGATGTTGAGGTATCGGCCGTAGCGTTCTGTGGACGAACAGGAACCAGGGTTATTCCAAGGGAGGACTGACAAAAACAGGATCAAGTAGGAGTATGGCCTCCCTCGATTTTGACACTCCTGCTGATGGAGTCTAGAATCACAATGGCTTTTTCCTCTGGCTCATCTTCAGCTTGTGGTCTGCTAGGACTCTTCTCTCTTTTGTGTGAGTGCTCCTACCTTTTCTCAGATTGTCTGGGTCGAACCCATTAATTAAGAACTTGGGCTCCCCGAAATTGGTGCTGATCAGGACATTGTGCCGCGGCTGGAACCAGAAGTCAAACATCCCGATGGGTCCATCTTCTGGACACTCCCAGTTCCCTTTCACTTCAAAGGTTTCCGAGTCCAGAACAAGAAGGCCACCTGGGACCAAAAAAAAATAGGAACCACTGGGGTCAAAAGGCAATGTGTTTGCAAAGAGCAATATTTATTATTTCTAACCTGCTTTCACCCCAATGATTGGGATTCAAGGCAGGCAACCTATTAGAATACTGGCAGTGTTGTGGAATTTTCCCCTATTGTGGAGGGCTACTTGTATTCCCAAATGGTATCTATGCCTGCAGTACCTTTTGCATTGCCGAATGGATCTCCAAATCCACTGATTAGAACATCTCCGTTGCCCATGTTACGCGAGGTGGTCAAGAAACTCAGGTTGGTTTTCTTGACGATTTCTCGGGGTTCAATGACCTGCCGATGGAAGACAGAAAACAGATCATTTCTGCATTCCATCCTATGTAAGGCCCTTTTCCTTAAACTCTAAGATACATCATCTGTATTATAGCATTATGCAGATTCGAATCCGGGGAGAGGCGGATGAGCTCCCTCTATCAGCTCCAGCTCCTCATGTGGGGACATGAGAGAAGCCTCCCACAAGGATGATAAAAACATCAAATCATCCAGGCGTCCCCTGGGCAACGTCCTTGCAGACGGCCAATTCTCTCACACCAGGAGTCACTCCTGACATGACAAAAAAACCCCAAAAAAACAACCATTTTGATTGCCATAGTTTTGCATTGCTTATTACAATGCAAAACTATGGCTTGTGCCTCAGCAAACTACAACTCCATCACTTAGGCATAGCAATCCTGGCATAGAAATTTTATTTATTTATTTATTTATTTATTTATTATATAAGCACTGGGACTGTGGTGCAGCTGACTGGGAGTCAGCTGCATTAAGATCTTTACTAACCGAAGAGTCATGAGTTCAAAGCCAGTCCGGGTTGGAGTGAGTGTCCAACCAATTTGTGTAGCTTGCTGTCAGCTTTTGCAGCCCAAAAGACAGTTGCATCTGTCAAGTACGAAATTTAGATACCACCTACACGGGGAGGCTAATTTAACTAATTTACGATGCCATAAAAATCTCCAACAATCCTACAAAGAATGAGGAAGTACTTCATCAGTGTCACAAATGGGCGGTGAAGCCGCAGCTCCCCTGGTGGCCAGAATACCCTCATGAAAGAGTTTTAATTGCCTCTGTGTCTGTCTATATATGTTGTGTGTCTATGGCATTGAATGTTTGCCATGTATATGTACATTGTAATCCACCCTGAGTCCCCTTTGGGGTGAGAAAGGCAGAATATAAATACTGTAAGTAAGTAAGTAAGTAAGTAAGTAAATAAATAAATATTTAGAGTATTATATCCCACTTTTCTCACCCCAAAGGGGACTTATAGCGGCTTAAAAGAACACACATATGACAAATATTTAGTGCCGATTATACAATTAACAAGGACACACAACATAGAGGTAAAGGCACTTTTCCCCATCTCATTTCCGGCATCTTGCAGGCTGTGCTTGACTCCGGCCATGTCGCTCCATCTTCCTTGTTGAGGAACTTTGCCTCCGAATGACGTCCTTAAGGGTACTTTTATTACYTCCCCACTAAAAGTGGTACCTATTTTATTTACTCGCCTTTCTGCTTTCAACCTGCTAGGTGGGCAAATGAGCTGGAGCTAACAGCAGGTGCTCAACCCCGACCCAGGCTCAAACTTCCGACCTTCCGATCGGCAGGATTTTTCTGCAGCACAGCGGTTTAGCCTGCTGTGCTAAGCTCTGTCCTAAATTGGTGTTGAACTCTCTTCGTGGAACAGTGTAGATGCCCCCTGATTGTTTCCCCATATGATGTCTTGACCTACTTTGTACAAGCTGGGAGCGCGCTGGTCAGAGCCTGTGTCCACCACATAAATACGTCCGGAGACCCCACATGGCAGGATGAGCCGGTTGCGCTCCTTGCTAGGGTCTCCGAAAGAGCTGCTGCTGGCGTTCCAGCCTGAGTGATAGAGTTCGTCATCCAGGTAAGGCAAGCGCAGGCGGTGGATGACCTGTCGAGAGACAAAGAGGATGTGGCATTGGAAAATCAGGGTTATGTCGCTGAGGTGGGATTTGAGTCTGGATCGCATCAAACATGTCATTACACCAACTCAAATCGAACTCTTTACCATAATGCTAAGCAGAAAGGCTGAGCCCAGTGTCGCAGGGAACTGAGCTCTGATGAGAATCTCAAATATCCCTGGAGGGAAGTGGTTCTTATCTTGAAAGGGCTTAAAGAGCTATAATTCGCATATTTCATTAGTCTTAATATCTAGACTACTAACAAAATCCGGAAGCTTTCCGAATCCCATAAAAAAAGCATCTACTAAGCAAAGCATTTGTCTGGTGAGGTGGTTTGGTCCTGGGATTCTGGAGATCTGGGTTCGAGTCCCTGCTCAGGCATGGAAACCCCTTAGGTGCCATGAGAAAGGCCATACTCTCTCAGCCTCAGAGGGAGGCAGATCTGGCCAGGAAAACCTTGCAAAAGGGTTGCCATTGAAGTACCAGGACAGCAACAGATACTAGACATTAAAAGGAGATCTTAGCTGGATTGCATGCAAGATAATCTATATAAATAAAAATGTAATGTTTGTTTGTGGGATTAACATAACTCCAAAACCACTGGACGAATTGACACCAAATTTGGACACAAGACACCTATCAGGCCAACAAGTGACCATCACTCATAGAAACACTGGAAAACACAGCAGAAGAGACTTAAAAAGTAAAAAAAAACCCAAAATATATATTACAATGCATGCACAAAACCACATTTACAATTACCGTCCTGTTTCTAATCTGCCATTCTTAGGTAAGGTGATAGAACGGGCTGTACTGGGACAATTGCAACAACTCCTGGATGACACAGCTGGCCTGGACCCTTTCCAGTCAGGTTTTCGCCCGGGCCATGGGACGGAGACAGTCCTGGTTGCCATTACGGATTAACTCCGTCGCCAGTCTGACAACGGTGGATCCGCGCTACTGGTACTTCTCGACCTTACCGCAGCGTTTGACACCGTTGACTACGATCTAATGATTCACCGTCTTGCCATGTCCAGAGTTCGCGGTCAGGCCCTCAATTGGTTCAACTCATTTCTCCGGAACCGGAGTCAACGCGTGGAGTACATGGATCAAGTCTCCGATAGATCCCCCCTCCTATGTGGGGTCCCCCAAGGTGCAATTCTCTCTCCTCTTCTCTTCAACATCTACGTTAGACCCCTTGCTAGTTTGGCTCGGAGTTTCGGCCTGGACTGCTACCAATATGCGGACGATGCCCAACTCCTTCTACACCTGGAGCAACGTCAATTCCAGACAATTTCACCCAATGTCTGGAGGCTCTGTCGAACTGGCTATGTGCTAGCAGACTGAAGGTGAACCCGGCGAAGACTGAGATTCTCTGTCATGGCCGCCCGGCAGGTCTGACTCATCCGTTACCCACCTTCGATGGTGCCCTCCGTCGACCACTGTTAAGAGCTTGGGTGTCGTCCTGGATTTGCTGCTGACAATGGAAGCTCAGGTCACTGCTGTCAGCAAATAGACCTTTTTCCATCTATGACAAGCGAGGCAACTGGCACCCTACCTATCTGACGAGGCTCTGGCAACAGTCATCCATGCCACGGTCATGTCTAGGCTGGACTATTGCAATGCCCTGTATGTTGTCCTTCCGATGTCTACGACCCGAAAGCTCCGTATTGTTCAGAATGCGGCAGCCAGGTTACTCACAAGAACGCCCATGAAATGCCATATAACACCAGTGCTGCAACATTTACATTGGCTTCCAACTGAGTACCGTGGCCTGTATAAGATGTTAGTTCTGACCTTTAAAATTCTTTACGGCCAGGGTCCATCGTACCTTAGGGACCGCCTCTCCTTCTCCCATCATCGGAGGTCGCAACGACCAGCCCAACGTGACTTACTCTATATACCAGGTCCTAGAGAAGTGCACTTGGAAAGTACCAGATGCAGGGCTTTCTCTATTTCTGCCCCTGCCTTATGGAATTCCTTGCCGCCCTATATGAGAGCCATGCGTGACTTAGGGCCTTTTACTCTAGCACTTAAGACCTGGCTTTTTACTAGAGCATTCGATCTCTGTTAATTTTTAATTTCTGTATGTATGTATTTTATCTTTTACAATTTAGCTGTAAATCGCCTAGAGCATTCCCGGATGGAGGGCGATTAATAAATTAAATATGATGATGATGATGATGATGATGATGATGATATATATGCATAGACACAAATATATATATATATATACACACATATATATAAACACAGAAAACACATATACACAGACTGGAAGAAAGGAGGGAAGGGAAGGATAAAGGGAAGAGAGAAGGAAGGAAGGAAGGAAGGAGAAAGAGGGAGAGAGGGAGGAGAGAGGGAAGGAAGGAAAGATTAAAGGGTGGAAGGGAAGGATGGGAGGAGAAAGGGGGTTAGGGATGAAGAGAAGGATGGAAGAAGGGAAGGATAAAGGGAAGAGAGAAGGAAGGAAGGAAGGACGAAAGTACTGAAGGGAAGGATGGGAGGAGAAAAGGGGAGGGAGATAAGGAGGAAGGAAAGACAAAAGGGAGAGAAGGAGGGAAGGGTGAAAGAATGGAAGGGAACGATAGAAGGAGAAAGGGAGGCAAGAAGGAAGGAATGAGAGAAGGAAGGAAAGACAAGAAGGAGGGAAGGACAAAAGGGTGGAAGGGATGGAGGAAAGAAAGAGAAGGAAACAAGGATGAAAGGGAAGGAAGGAGGAAGAGGGAGAGAGGGAGGAAAGAGGGAAGAAGGGACCAAAGGGTGGAAGGGAAGGATGGAAGAAGAGGGAAGGGAGATAAGGAGGAAGTAAAGAGGGAAGGAAGGAAAGACAAAAGGGAGGGAAGAAGGGATGGACAAAAGGGTAGAAGGGAAGGATGGATGGAGAAAGAGGAAGGTAAGGAGGAAGGAAAGAGAGGAGGAAGGAAAGGCAAGGGAGAGAAGGAGGGAAGGATGAAAGAGTAGAAGGAAAAGATAGAAGAAGAAAGGGAGGCAGGCAAGGAGGAAGGAATGAGAGAAGGAACGAAAGACAAGAAGGAGGGAAGGACAAAAGGGTGGAAGGGGAAGGAGGAAGGAAAGAGAAGGAAGGGTGAAAGGGAAGGAAGGAAGGAAGGAGGAAGAGGGAGAAAGAGGGAAGAAAGGACCAAAGGGTGGAAGGGAAGGATGGAAGGAGGAAGAGGTAAGGAAGGGTGGTAAGGAGGAAGGAAAGAGGGAAGGAAGGAAAGACAAAAGGGAGGGAAGAAGGGATGCACAAAAGGGTAGAAGGTAAGGATGGAAGGAGAAAGAGGAAGGTGAGAAGGAAGGAAAGACAAAACGGAGAAGAGGAGGGAAGGATGAAAGAGTGGAAGGGAAAGATAGAAGGAGAAAGGAAGGGAAAGGAGGGAGGTAAGGAAGAAGGAAAGACAAAAGAGAGGGAAGGAGGGAAGGACAAATGGATGGAAGGAGGAAGGAAAGAGAAGGAAGGACTAAAAATGGAAGCGAATGAAGGAAGGGAGAAGGAGGGGAGGGAGGGAGGAAAGGTGGAAAGGAAGGAGAAAGAGGGAGGGAAGGAGGCAGGTAAGAGAAAAGGAAGGAAGGAAAGGCCTGGCTTTACCCATATCTGATCTAGACCAAACATGGTCCTCAGACCCTTCATTATTCAACTTAAAAGAATAGAAGGTTAGACATTTTTGAGTCTCAAAGCAGATTGATTGTTGTTAGGTGAAGTGGCCTTCTGTGATGTCATTTGGAAAGCCACGGAGAGAAACAGATTGGCTGGTGCTAGGTGACATATGTCTGAGATTAGGCAGGAAATAAATAAATATAAAAAGAAGGGAGAAGAACAGAAGGAGAGAGAAAGGAAATCTATAAAATAGGATTTACCTGGCAATAACTTGGTGATTCCGGATCCACGTCCACGGTGGCCAAATAGTCAGGTTGACGAGTCCCACTTAAAACGCACAGTACGTACATCAGCTTTTCTTTGGGGCCTGCGGAAGCAAAGTCTAGTATCAGGATCTTAAAGCAGAGGATGGATTTTGTTGGATATATGGAGTTGGAACCTGATTCTGGGTAGAAAATATCAGCCCGACTTACCTCTCATGGCATCCAGTGGCGAAGCGTATCCAGGTCCATGGTGTGAGCCATACCTCCCTATACATTTGGGGGGAAACAAAAGAGCAAGATCTGGTTTATTCACAATCGAAAGGAAACGCTTGGATCAAAGGAGGACTTGGATTACAAGAGTAATGACGGAGGATCTAGGACAGTGTTTCTCAACCTTCCGAATGCCGCGACCCCCTAAACCTCCTGTTGTGGTGACCCCCAACCATAACATTATTTTCATTGCTACTTCATAACTGTAATTTTGCTACTGTTATGAATCGTAATGTAAACATCTGATATACAGAATAGATTTTCATTCACTGGACTAAATTTGGCACAAATACCTGATACGCGCAGATTTGAATACTGGTGGGGTTGTGGCGGATTGATTTTGTCATATGGGAGTTGTAGTTACTGGGATTTATAGTTCACCTACAATCAAAGAGCATTCTGAACTCCACCAATGATAGAATTGGACCAAGCCCGGCACACAAAACTCCCATGAGCAACAGAAAATACTAGAAGGGTTTGGTGGGCATTGACCTTGAGTTTGGGAGTTGTAGTTCACCTACATCCAGAGAGCACTGTGGACTCAAACAATGATAGATCTGGACCAAACTTGATATGAATACTCAATATGCCCAAATGGAAACAATGGTGGAGTTTGGGGGAAATAGACCTTGACATTTGGGAGTTGTAGATGCTGGGATTTATAGTTCACCTACAATCAAAGAGCATTCTGAACTCCACCAATGATGATAGAATTGAACTAAGCTCGGCACACAGAACTCCCATGAGCAACAGAAAATACTAGAAGGGTTTGGTGGGCATTGATCTAGTTCCAACAGACCTCATACTTCTTAGGATGCTTGCCATAGATGCAGGTGAAATGTCAGGAGAGAATGCCTCTACACCATGGCCATATAGCCCGAAAAAACCTACAACAACCCATTGACCTTGAGTTTGGGAGTTGTATTTCACCTACATCCAGAGAGCATTGTGGACTCAAACAATGATGGATCTGGACCAAACTTGACACGAATATTCAATATGCCCAAATGGGAACACTGGTGGAGTTTGGGGGAAATAGACCTTGACATTTGGGAGTTGTATTTGCTGGGATTTATAATTCACCTACAATGAAAGAGGATTCTGAACCCCACCAATGATAGAACTGGGCCTAACTTCCCACACAGACCCCCATTCCATGAGCCACCCTCCCCATGGTTGAAGGACCGGCCAATCACAGCGGAGGAGGGCTTTTGGTGGGAGGATTTTCCGTCTGTTTCCAAAAAGGAAGAGAAGGACAGGTGGAGAGATCTTCAGCCTTCTCTGCCAAAGGGGTTCCGAAGACCATCAGAAATATGTGTTTTCTGATGGTCTTTGGTGACCACTCTGAAACCCCCTCGCGACCCCCACAGGGGTTCCGACCCCCAGGTTGAGAAATACTGAAGTAAAGTCAGGATTGAATCCCCAAATCAGAATAAATATTCCAAATGGAGACGACGGGAAATCTTACCTTTGTGTGGGGTCTTCTGGTCAAGGTTTTCTTCACCCAACACTTTGCTCTGGAGCGTAGACATCTCCTTTGGAGCCTCGATGTATGCGACAGCAAGAGGATTCTCTCCATCTCCCTATATAACTAATTTGGAGTGTTTTATGAGAAAGGCGTGCTCATTAGAATAAACAAATTAAGGAAAGAGCTGACTCGGGAAAACAACGAAAATTAGTTTCGGATGGGGCGTTTTTCATAATATCCCAAATCTGCTTCATTGAGTTAATTTTGGGGAGCAGAAATGTCAACTTCCCCTTCTAACAGGCTCCTTGAGTTTTCCTCCCATTGCTTCTTCCAGGAATGATTACTAGGGATTTTTAAAACAAATCGTGCGCGTTATCAATCTGAGATGGAGAAATGGTCCCATGTAGCCCTAGGTACGAATACTCAGAGTAGCAAAGCACAAGGGCAGATGTCTTCACTGTGTCTAGTTGTGATCCCCAGGTTGTGCCAGTCAGCTTTCGTATGATATTATTTCTAGCACCCACTTTTTGCTTTTGCTTCTTATAAGTTGGAGCACGGTCCAGAGTGAGTCCCAGGTATTTGGGTGTGCTGCAATTCTCCAGTGGGATTCCTTCCCAAGTAATACGGTATTACAACTTGATTCAATACAACACAATATTCAGTTGTGAAAATGAATGGTCGTATTTAGGCCTGCTGGTAATTAAAACTGATAAATGCTGTGTCTACTTTTTTGTTTATTAAATAATAAAGCAATTATATTTTATGGGCACACTTGACTATCTCTAACCATTAGCTTGTCTACTCCCATGGTTAAGTCTGAAGTTTTGCATCATTATTAAATGGATGTAATTGTGCTGAATCTGAGATAATACTTTTACCTTTAAGATGTTATCAGAAGCGACTCTTTTCGGACAAAAATACGTACCCAAAAATACGTGCAAAGAATGAACATGTTGGCGTCACTATCATGTTCCATGCACTTTAAATAGATGTGTGCCTTTAATGCAAGTATGAGTAAACCCAAGCCCGGAGCCCCGATGTGGCCCCTTGGGCTCTTGTCCCAGACCCTCCTCTCTCTCACCATCCTACCCCTCCTTCCTTCTCTTCCCTTCCCTTCCACCCTTTGGTCCTTCCTTCTCTTTTTCCTTCCTCTTTCCTTCCCTTCCACCCCATTTGAGACCTTGCCCTTCCCAGTTAGCTCAGCCAAAAGCAAACTACTACAGTGCCCTTCTATGTGTGCATCCACACTCTAGTTTGACCCCACTTTAATCTCTAGGGTTCAAGGCTATGGAAACCTTGGATTTGGGTAGCATTAGAGTATATTGATCAGATTGATATACAATGTAGGGGGGACGAGGACATCTGATGTATATACCTAAGATTAAAGTACATTCAGTTATAAGTTGGCCATCCCCACTTTTTCTCAAAGTAATAATAATAATAATAATAATAATAATAATAATAATAATACACTTTATTTATATTCTACTTTATCTCCCCAAGGGACTCAGAGCAGATTATAGTTTATATATATAAAGGGCAAACATTAAATGCCTTTTTACACAGTGAACAACATACAATACACAGATAGACAGAGGTAAAGGCCTTCCCATTTCCATCTCCGGCGTCTGGAGATGATGCTCAACTCCGGCCATGGGGAGGTGCTCTTATTCCATGCCGAGGAGCCTGTTGTCCATAGACTGTCTCGAATCGTTGCCAGCATTTCTGCATGTCTTCGTGTGGCATCCTTTTACCTCCCCGCCAAGGCGGTATCGATTGGTCTATTTACATTACAGCCTTTTGAACTGCTAGGTAGGCAGAAGCTAGGGCTGACAGCCAGGAGTTCACTCCAACTCGTGGCTTTGAACTGCTAACCCTCTGGTCAGCAGATTTCTTTCAGCTAACAGTTTTAACTGCTGCGCTACCGCAACCCCATTGGATTGCTGTACTTGCATATTTATAATTTTACTTGAACTTGACATATACTGTATGTGTTTGTACTGTCTTATCTTGATAAGGCCAATTGGCTGATCAATAAAATTGTTTTGGTTTCGGTTAAGGGTAGCATTACAAGCTCTCCCCAAACTACAAACCCCCTGATTCCATTGCACAGCAGATTAAGTGGTGTCAAACTGCATTCATCTTTCAATGTAAAAGCACCTTATGTTGCTCTTTAGGAATTTTTGCTGTCTTGACTCCACTCTCCTGCTGCTGGGCCAGAAAAGTCCCAGTTTTCTGGCCCACGGGATGTGAGATTTGGGGATCGGTAATGGTTCCCTCATGATGCCACTTCTCACACGATACCGAGATCCCTCCCAACAACTTAGCCATGCCCTGGAACCCTACTCCTTGTCATATTTCGGTATCAGTTTCCCCAGAGATACGTTTGCTTTCATCTTGTGAGCTGACTAACATCAGTTGGAGCAGCAGAACCAGTTCCAAGCTGCTTGCATCGCGAAACAAAAAAAGAACCCTAAATGACCATGTTCATTCCATTTTGGGGTTTCGTCTGAATTTTAGAACAGTGACCTAAGTCCCTGAACCTATTTTGGAGGCAGTTTTGGGTTCATCCTCACGGGACCTTTTGGTCTCTGATTTTAAGGTGATCTTTAGGAGGTCCAAAATATGTCCTAGACTCCTTAGGTAAGCCTAAACTTAGACCCAACAGACAAGGCAGATGTCACCCTTCACTGATGATGATGATGATGATGATGATGATGATTGTATGTATTTATACCCTGCTTTTTCTCTACCAAAGGATACTCAAAGTGGGAAGATTATCTTTGCAAGAAGGTTCTCATCTCTACTGTTGTTTGTTTTTTAGTAGCCTTGGTTAGCAGTCGGTATATTTGAGATATATTGGTAACTAGCTTGGGTACCCAGCAGTGCCCAGGTTATGTGAGAAAGGCCTTGTTTGTTTTGGGGTGTTTAGTAATATCATGTAGTTAATTAGTAACACTATTTATCAAGAAAAAGCCAGTCTTTGCTTTTGTTGTTTATGAATGCTCCCATTTGAAAATTCATAATGATGTGGTTGAACTAAAATTCCCAGAATCGTGGGACAATCCTCCCCAAACCAGGCCTGTATGCTCAGTTGGCCATGTTGGGTCAGTGTGCCAAGTTTGGTCCAGACTATACATGAAAGATTACTACTACCACATCAACTCTAGATTATTAAATATGGTTTTCTGTGGACGAGCAGATGGGGACTACTGGATGGCTTATGTTTTGTAACAGAAACTAGAGCTGATGTGGTCTATCCAATGTTGTTTTCTGAATCAACACCCTAAATAATGAAACTGAATCTAAAGTTGACCAAAAACTGATTCATAACCCTTTTGGTACTAATGTTGGAGAGTGGTCCCTGATCAAAGTGGTCCCTAGTCAAAGTGGTCCCTGATCAAAGTGATCCCTAGTCAAGTCATCCCTGGTCAAGTGGTCCCTGGTCAAAATGGTCCCTGGTCAAGTAATCCCTGGTCAAGTAATCTCTGGTCAAAATGGTCCCTGGTCAAAATGATCCCTAGTCAAGTCGTCCCTGGTCAAAGTGGCCCCTAGTTAAGTCATCTCTGGTCAAAGGGAGAATGAAGAGAGGTGAGAGACAAAGAAGAAAGATAGAGGAAAGAAAGGAGATGGAGAAGGGTTATGAGGAAAAACAATGAGGAAGGAAAGCAAAGGAAGGGAGAATGCATGTGAGGGATAAGGAGAAAGAAAAGAAAGAGTCACAAAGTGAGCTTGCCCACCATCACAAGAGGATTGCCATAGAGACATGGTGAGGTAGGCACTCTCAGAGCTGGAAAATGGAGGAAGCAGTCCCCAGAGAAAGATACAGATATATGCTATTACAAGAATGGTATGTCTCATGTTGACGTTTACAACAAGGAGTCAAAGCAGCAAGCATTGGACAAAAAAGTATTGCATAGATCCCAATTCTTAAGCAATTCTCCTGCCAATATGAAGACGACTTGGAAAGGATGCACGCTACTCCCAGATCTCGGAGGTGCAATCCCCACCGGGATAGCGCATCTCTTTTGCCCGAGCCGGACCGAACGGTTCATGTCCAAAATCCACCAGGAATTCTGGGTTCACACAAAGGCCGCCCTTCACAGTGTCCACATCCAGCTGGAGCATGACCGAACCATCCCTGGAAAAGATATAATGAAAGGGGAAGTCAAGATTGTGTACTGTCACGTTTTCCCCGACACATTGGCACTTTATCATGAGGTTTTCCAGGCTGTATTTGTACACAAGAGGCCTTCCTCTGAGTAGGAGAAAGTGCGACTCGCCCAAGGCCACTCTTACCTGATCAACTCCGGGTAAAACTGCCTGTCCCAAGGTGTGTAAAGAGAGGTGGTGACGTAGAGCCGGTGGCCGTCTAAGCTCAGCTGCAGCATATGAGGCCCTCCTTGGACCTTCTTGCCCTAAAGACAGCAGGGAAGAGATAGCCCCAGGATTAGGAAACATGTAAAAATGGCCATTTCAAAATCTGATGGGCAATCCGAGCAGTTAGACTGAAAATAACCCTCAGTTGGGATGATTCCAACATAAATATAATTCCGGATAGAAAAAGTCTTGGAGCTAACTAGCTTACAGGGTAAAAGATCTATGCAGCTAAATTTTGCCTAGAGAAAGGCAAAATTCGCCTCCACAGAATTCCATTACTACATCATCAAAGGGGGAGGAAACATGATTTGGGGGAGGTTTCAGATTTGGAAGGCTGTATTCCTATGCATCCTATTCCCATTTTGATCTGTCTCCAAATCCACCTGGTCTGTCGTCGACCTTACCTGAATCACGAAGGGATCGGGTTGGCAGTCTAGTTCTGGATCTTCAAGGACGGCTACGAAACCCCCTTTCTCAAGGCTGTTCCCCACAAATACCTAAAGATCCCAAAGAGACATAGTCAGTCGAGAACTAAAAACAACAGGGGCAAAGAAATTGGATTCCCTGGGCTGGGACACCAGTCCCCATCATCCCCAGCTAGCAGCCAGGGACAATGGAATCCATCATCTGGAAACATATAGTTATGGAAGGTTGCAAGCTTACTTGCCCGACCAGTTTGGGACAGTGTGGGTTGGTGATATCATATTGCCGAATATCGCCATGCGCCCAGTTGCTTAAGTAGAGGAACCGATCATCCATGGAGATGAGTAAATCAAAAAGAAACCCTGGAGGAGGAACAGGATCACAAGTCACAGGAGACCCCAAGGCAAGGCAGTTCAATCCCTCCCAACAGATGACCACCTAGCCTCTGCTTCAAAACTTCCAGCAAGGAGACACCAGATTCCTAGGAAACATATTCGCCTGTAGAAGAGCTATTTCAGTCAGGACATTCTTCCTTATGTTTAGGTGGAATCTGTTCTTGCAGTTTCAATTCATTGCTTCGTATCTTCTCACCTTGGTAAAACTACAATACCGAATGGCTGCTTTCTTGTTACTAACCTGGCATTTCGGGGTAGTTCCATCCCAATACTTTCTTGTTTGGGATTTGGATCACTTTATCAGCCGCCCAGCATCCGTTCTGCAGAGAAAACCAAACTGACCGGTGAGATGGTTAGGAAAATGGACGCCCCCCATGGTTTTTCTTGGGCGGAGTTTGCCTTGCCTTCTACCGATGGTGAGGGTGGGTTCCCACATCGGAGTAGGGATCCGAACCAGGTCTCCAGGCGCCAAACCATTAAACTACCCTGGCTCCCCGCAGCTAATGATCTTGCCTTGGGAACCACCCTTTCCCTTTTTCACCTCTGTCTTGTAGAAATGATGGATGGCGCTCTCCATGCCGCATGCCACAAAACCATGGGCTGAGTTGGGGTTGTGCAAGAAGCGGATCTCCACCGGAGCTGAGTCTTCACTCATATTGATCGACTGGAGGAGGCGGTGGGTGGTCAAGTCCCAGACATTGATTTGGTGGCCATAGCGCCCTGGGGACAAACAGGATCCATGATTATTCCAAGTGAAGTCTGACCAAAGCAGAATAGCATGGGACTATCACTTCCCGCAATCTGGACACTAGACTCCTGTTGATGCAGTCTAGAACCGCATTGGCGTTTTTAGCACCCGTATCACACTGTTGGGTTGTGTTCACCTTACGGTTTACTAGAACCCCTAGATCCCTTACACATTGAAGCTCCTACCTTTTCTCAGATTGACTGGGTTGAAAGTATCACTAAAGAATTTGGGTTGCCCCCCTTCGGCGGTGATCAGGACATTGTGCCGCGGCTGGAACCAGAAGTCAAACATCTCGATCGGTCCATCTTCCGGGCTCTCCCAAGTCCCTTTCACTTCCCAGGTTTCAGAGTCCACAACGAGAAGTCCACCTTGGACCAAAAAACAGGAACCACTGGAGTCTTTGTGTTTGCAAAAAGCAATATTATGATTCCTGTCCTGCTTTCACCCCAACGATTAGGATTCAAAGCAGGTTGCCTATTAGAATACTGGCAGGTAAAGGGTTGGTAGGTGAGTTGTGTGTTCTCCCCCTATTGCTGATTGTATTCCCAAATAGGCATCTACACCTCCAGTACCTTTTCCTTTGCCAAATGCATCTCCAATGGAGCTGATCATAACCTCTCCATTGCCCGAGTCACGTACGCTGCTCAAAAAACCCAAGTTGGCTTTCTTGATGATTTCTCGGGTTTCGATGATCTGATATGTCAGAGAAAGAAAACAGGTAATTTCTGCATGCCATCCTATGTAAAGCCTTTTCCCTTAAAATCTAGGGTGCATCTTCTATATAATAGCATTAATGCGGTTTGATACCATTTTGACTGCCATGGCTCAAGGATATGGAATCCTGGGAGTTGTAGTTTTGCAAGGTTTAGATCCTTTTCTGCCCAAATGTACCTCAGGAAACTACAACTCCGAGAACTCCATAGCATACGATTACATAGCAGCCCTGGCATAGAAAGTCGTGTCAAAATGTCTTCATTGCACAGTGTAGATGCACCCTGATTGTTTCCCCATGTGACTCCCTGACATACTTTGCACAAGCTAGGAGCACACTGGTCGGAGCCCGTGTCCACCACATAAACACGGCCGGATTTCAGGCATGGGAGGATGAGGCGGTTGCGCTCCTTGCTGGTGTCGCCGAAGGAGATGCTAGAGGTGTTCCAGCCTGAGCGATAGAGTTCATCGTCTAGGTAAGGCATGCGCAGGCGGTGAATGACCTAGGCAGGTAGACGAGAAGTATGTGGCATTGAAAAATCAGGTAGGGAAGATTCAGAAAAGGACCCAACACAGGCTGGAGAATCTAACCCACTAAATGTATGGACAGGGATGAAAAATTATCCACTCCACCCCAACTGCCCCTGCCCTGGTCTCAGAGGGAGAAGAGCAGCCAGGTGCAGCTCTGTCATCCCTATGTCCAGCAATGGATGAAAGACTTATCTCCTCCACCCGAACTACCACTACTCTGGCCTTGGAGGGGAAGAAGAGCAACCAGAGTGAAACACCTTTGTTGCATCCCAACTGTCATTGACTGGCCTTTGAGAGAATGAAGAGCAGCCAGGATGAAATGCTCTTTCTCCATTCTAACTGGCCTTTGAGGGAGAGAAGAGAAGCCAGGTGGACCCCAAATGCCACTGCCCTGGCCGTCATGGGAGAGGAGAAACCAGGAAGAGCCAGGATGAGAAGCCCTTTCTCCACCCCAATGGCCACTGCCCTGGCCATCAAGGGAGAGAAGAACAGCCAGGATGAGAAGCCCTTTCTCCACCCCAACGGCCACTGCCCTGGCCATCGATGGAGAGAAGAACAGCGAGGGTGAGAATCCCTTCCTCAACTCCAACATTGCCCTGGCCATAGAGGAAGAGAAGAACAGCCAGGATGAGAAGCCCTTTCTCCACCCCAGTGGCCACTTCCCTGGCCATCGACGAAGAGAAGAACAGCCAGGATGAGAAGCCCTTCCTCAACCCCAACAGCCATTGCCCTGACCATAGAGGAAGAGAAAAACAGCCAGGATGAGAAGTCCTTTCTCCACCCCAACAGCCACTGCCCTGGCCATCGAGGGACAGAAGAACAGCCAAGATGAGAAGCCCTTTCCCCACCCAATGACCACTGCCCTGCCCATCGAGGGAGAGAACAGCCAGGATGAGAAGTCCTTTTTCCACCCCAACTGCCACTGCCCTGGCCATCAAGGGAGAGGAGAACAGCCAGGATGAGAAGCCCTTTCTCCACCTGAACGGCTACTGCCCTGGCCATCGAGGGAGAGAAGAACAGTCAGGATAAGAAGCCCTTCCTCCACCCGAATGGCCACTGCCCTGGTCATTGAGGAAGAGGAGAACGGCCAGGATGAGAAGCCCTTCCTCCACCCCAACGGCCACTGCCCTGGCCATAGAGAAAGAGAAGAACAGCCAGGATGAGAAGCCCTGTCTCCACCCTAGTCGCTAATTCCCTGGTCATGATGATGATGATGATGATGATGATTATTATTATTATTATTATTATTCATGATCTATATTCCAATGGTCAATGATACTAAACAGGCCATGATCCATTATCTCCAATAATGAGAGGGAAAGGAGAGAAATGAAAACTATAAAATAGGATTTACCTTACAATAACATGGCGATTCTGGATCCACATCCACCGTGGCCAAATAGTTAGGATGCCGGGACTCGCTTGGGCTCAAAACACACAGTACGTACATAAGCTTTTCTCTGGGGCCTGCAGAAACAAATTCTCATTTCAGGATCTTAAAGGCAAGATGTATTTTGTTGCAAATGAGGAGATAGAATCTGAAAATATCAGCCCAACATACCTTCCATAGCATCCAATGGCGAAGCATAGCCGGGTCCGTGGTATGAGCCATACCTCTCTATACATTTGGGGAGAAACAAAAGATCAAGATCTGGTTTATTCACATCGAAAGGATATACTTGGATCAAAGAAGCACCTGAATCATAAGAGTCCTGCTGGAGGACCTAGGACATGTTTGGCCAGAGGTGGATAAAAGAAACCATATAAAATCTTAGCTGAATTTCTCTTCAACTTTGTGGTCTGGAAATCTATCACAATGCTCTTCTTAGGGACATCCAAACTCCAGCCAATATCAACGATCCACTGTATTCAGTAATAAGGAAATGAAAATGTTTTGAAGATCAAGGAGCCAAACACTGTATTAAGCAATACTTTCTTACTCGTTGTCTGCGTAGGATGGTCTTCTAGGGTCAGTGTCCGGGCAGTGGGTCCGTAGGTGACTGTGGAGCCCTATTTTTGATCTGCATCTTCTCCCACAGTGAGGGCATTGGTTTCCAGGTGGAAGGCGGTCTTGGTCAGGGTTGGCTTGACGTGCCTTCCTCTTGACACATTTCTCTCTTTCGCCCTCCATTCGTGCCTCTTCAAATTCTACAGCACTGCTGGTCACAGCCAGGCATGTAGCCCGGGGGGGTGGGCTTGGGGGGCTTCAGCCCCCCCCCCCCGAAATTCTCATGGTGGTTCGCGAAAAGGCCTTACTGGTGCATTATTTAAATTGTTATGTTTATTCATATCATGATCTGATCACCATACTATATCCCATATGCATGGGGGTATTGGGGTAATGATACAAAAGGTTTGCTAGGGTAGACCCTCTTTCACTCAGTCTCAGCCTCCCCGAAACTCAGCCCCCAACCCCCCCTCTCTCTTTCGCCCTCCATTCATGCCTATTCAAATTCTGCAGCACTGCTGGTCACAGCTGACCTCCAGCTGGAGCGCTCAAGGGCCAGGGCTTCCCAGTTCTCAGTGTCTATGCCAGAGTTTTTAAAGTTGGCTTTGAGCCCATCTTTCAATCTCTTTTCCTGCCCACCAACATTCCGTTTTCCGTTCTTGAGTTCGGAGTAGAGCAACTGCTTTGGGAGACGGTGGTCAGGCATCGGACAACGTGGCCGGTCCAGCGGAGTTGATGGCGGAGGACCATCGCTTCAATGCTGGTGGTCTTTGCTTCTTCCAGCACGCTGACATTTGTCGGCTTGTCTTCCCAAGAGATTTGCAGGATTTTCCAGAGGTAGTACTGATGGAATTGTTACAGGAGTTGTATGTGACGTCTGTAGACAGTCCACATCTCGCAGGCGTATTAGCAGGGTTGGGAGGACAGTAGCTTTATAAACAAGCACCTTGGTAACCCTATGGCTGTCCCGGTCCTCAAACACTCTCTGCTTCATTCGGGAAAATGCTGCACTCACAATAAGTAAATAAACCATATATGAAAAGCAATCATCTAAAAAATATGGGTGGGAAAAGTGAAACAGGACCTGGGATTGGAGACTCATTGGGTCCAAACATGGACACCGCCTTGAATTTGAAGATGAAATAAACTCAGCAATGAATCCCTAAATCACAATAAATGTCCCAAATGGAGACGCCCGGATGTCTTACCTTTATTCGTGTTCATCTGGTCTGGATGTTTTCCATCCAATGCTTTGGTCTGGAGCTTAGACATCTCCTTTGCAACCTCAATGCATCTGACAGCCAGAATTGTCTCTCCACTCCCTAAAGGAACCTATATACATTCGGAGGATATCTCTCCATCTTTATGTGTAACACATCGAAATGCTGATGAAGAAAGCGTCTTCCCTGGAAAAACCCATTAAGGAAACGGCTGACTCCGGAAACAAACAACAACAATTTCAGGTGTGGTAATTGTTTTTTCTTCATTGTTTTGTTTATAAGAGAAGAAGGGAAAGCAAGGAATAGAGAATGGAGGAAGGGTGGAAGAAAGAAAAAGGAGGGAGGGAGGGAGGGAGGGAGGGAGGGAGGGAGGGAAGGAAGGAAGGAAGGAAGGAAGGAAGGAAGGAAGGAAGGAAGGAAGGAAGGGAGGAAGGAAGAGGATGAAAACAGAGGGGATTATATTTGCGTGTGGATGGGCGACACTCCTCCCTCCTGCAGCAGGCCTGGTACCTGCTGGGCCCAGCGCAGGTGGGGCTGGCCGCTGGTTGGCCAGCTGATCCAGTGGCGGGAAACTTCCTGCCACGCAGGGGTTCTGGGAATGAGAAGCCCCTGCTAACCACATGGCCAAAGGGAAGGACTCCCCCCACCGCAACAGGCCTTGCCCGGTAAGTCGGGCAATGAATATAGTAAAGGTAAAGGTTTTCCCCTGACATTCAGTCCAGTTGTGTCCGAAAAAAGACAGAAGGAAGGATAGACGCAAAAAGCAAAGGAAGGAAAGAGGTAGAGAAGGAAAGAGAAAGAGGAAAAGAAAAAGGGGGAAGGAAAGCGAAGGAAGGCAGGAGAGAAGGAAATAAAAAGGAAGGAAAAAGGGAGCGATGGAAGAAAGGAGGAAAAGAGGGAGGGAAGGAAAGACAAAAGGAAGGGTGGAAGCAAAAAGCAAAGGAAGGAAGAAAAGAGGCAGAGAAGAAATAAAGTAGAGAAAGGGAGGGAAAAGAAAAAGGGGGGAAGGAAGGAAAGAGGGAGAGAAGGAAGGAAGGGGAGAATGAAAGAAGAAAAGGAAAGGAAGGGAAGAAGGAGGGAAAGAAGGATAGAAAGAGGGAGGGAAGGTTGGCCACAGCAATGCATGGCGGGTACAGCTAGTTAGTTAGATAAAAGAGTAGACTACCATTTTCTTCCTCTCTGCTGTTCCTTCTCTGTATCGGTGAATAATGTGCGCAGATCCCAGTAAGGTGGCCTTTTGCAGCTGGCAGCTGGTAATCTTGTCAGTGCCGATTGTGTTTAAGTGCAGGCCAAGGTCTTGAGGCACTGCACCCAGTGTACCGATCACCACTGGGATCACTTTGACTGGCTTGTGCCAGAGTCTTTGCAGTTCGATCTTAAATCCTCATATCGTGTCATCTTTTCCAGTTGTATTATTATTATTATTATTATTATTATTATTATTATTATTATTATTATTGGATTTTTGTAGATTTTTCGGGCTGTATGGCCATCTTCTCGAACATGGCCATACAGCCCAAAAATCCTACAACAACCCAGTGATTCTGACCATGAAAGCCTTTGACTATTATTATTATTATTATTATTATTATTATTATTATTATTACTATTATTATGCCATGTCTCCATGCTATGCAATCCTGGAAGTCATAGTTTCCCAAGGTCCATAGCCTTCTCTGGGTGTATTTACAGTATGGAATGAATGCCCTTGCACCTCACTTTAAATACCATAGCTCCATACTAAGCGGTCCTGGTAGTTATAGTTTCCCAAGGTCATACCCTTCTCTGGGTGCATCTGCAGTGGAGAATAAATGCAGTTGGGACCTATTTTAAATGTCGCCATCGTCGTCATCATCATCATCATCATCATCATGCCATGTTTCCATGCTGAGCAGTCCTGGGAGGTAATCGTTTTCTTAGGTGGCCAGGCTCCAGCAAAAGATGGAATCAGACTGACTTGGCAGACCTTGGCAGTCCTTATTCATCCACGGACTGAGATCCTGCCTCTTCAGTGATACCTCAGTCCCTTTCCCTTTTGACGGCAAAATACCTGGCATTCTTCCACAATGTTGTCCAGGTGTGAGAGTGGGGCACTGCCTGCTTGCTTTCTCCCTTCTCCAGCTCTGAGGCAGCATACCTCACAATGTCTCCAAGGCAACACTCTGATCAGCCAATCCACTCCACTCTTATCTTATGATCTTATCACACGGGGTACTACCCTTCATGCCGTTTCACCAGCCTCCATGGAGAAATGGCAGGGATGAGGGGCAACTCTCTCACGGCAATGCTTCCCCATCACATGGGGGAAGCATCGTCAAATCAGGAAGGCTCCCGTGTTGCAAGGGAAGCATCATACGACACTTCCACTCCAGTTGTGGGCAGGGCCTCCGCTGGAAGTCCAGCAATTTTGTGTGATGGGCAACCTGCCCATCCATTGTTGACTGGTGGGGAAGCGTACCAGGATGCTAAAGAAGCCCCATGTGATGAGGTCATTAATGACATCACAGCGGATTTTTCGCCTACCAACAGCCAATCCTCTTTGTTCTTTCTCTTGCTCTGGGCCTGAAAAGAGTTCTTTTAGCTGAAATCCCACTCAGAAGTGGAGTGGGCAGATCAAAAGACAACCTGGCAAGATGGCACTACCTAAAAAAATCCCACACTTTATGTGACTGTGGAGCAGAACAGACAACTCTGCATCTTTATGCTTGTCCACTATGTCCTGCTTCATGTACAGAGGAAAAATGTGTTAGCGCTAGCAGAACTATCACAGAAGCTAAGAATAATGGACTCTGGAGTCACCGATAAAAAGCAGGTTTCAGCTTTACTTGAGCAGTTCATAAATCCAACACACACCATCAGTGAAACAGACGTAAAGAACACAAAGCGAAAGAGATAGGCACTAAAGACAAACTGCAGCTGGAAAGGAGTTATCTCTAACACTCCCTAATTCTTCACACAGCAAGAACTCAGGGTCACATTCTCACAGCTCTTTTGTGTAAACATACATCCTGGCCATACAAATCTATTACAATCACTATTCTTCTACACAAAATTACATTTAAACATACATCATGCATGAAATACACACTGACAGAATTGTTGGAGGCTACAGGCAGTGCCATTGCTGTTGCCCGTTTTTAATCAAAAGACATTTAACCACCTGCACTCCTTCTATTTTTATCGGTCTTATACTAATTTATGTGATACTTTGATACAAAATAAATAAATAAGCTGAAAATCCACAATTATTTAGGTTGGATCGTGAAGAGTCTGTGTGACAAGTTTGGTCCAAAGCAATCAAACCATGGATGAGCCTTTGTGGTGCATTCCTACCTACCTACCAGCTGTTAGGAATGGTGGGAGTTGGAGTCCAAATTACCTGAAGGGCCAAAGTTTGCCCATACCTGTGTTAGAGTCATAACCTTTTGGGAAAATGGCATTCATGCAAGACAATGTGGCTTCAGTTATTAGACTGAATCATATGCCAGTGTACAAAAGCATACATATACTACTGCTCCCCTGCCAAGCATTGCTGTGGCCCAGTCTGGTGATCTGGAAAATAAAGTAATGAGAAAGTGTTGGTTTCTAATATATATAATGTCTTTCTGCTTGTGGGTAAACAGTATTTCTTGCCGTTTCTTTGTCGGTGTTGATGTAGAGATTGTCTGGTATGCCTACTCTGGAACATGCACCATATCATTGCCCTTCTTTAGGGGTCCCTTTCAAATCTATGATACTATATCTCTTTCTGTATGTGTGTATGTGTGAATCATATCTATCTATCTATGTCTATGGCTGGATGGCTCTTTGTCAGGAGGGCTTTGATTATGTTTTCTTGCTCTGGTGAAGGGAGTTGGACTGGATGGCCTTAAGTATGGGGTTCTGTGTGGGAAGTTTGTCCCAATTCTGTTGTCGTTGGTGTGGTTCAGCATGCTCTTTGATTGTAGTTGAATTATAATTTCCAGTAACGACAACTCCCAAAGGTCTGTTTCCCCCAAACGCCATCTGTGTTCACATTTGGGTATATGGAATATTCGTGCCAAGTTTGGTGCAGATCCATCATTGTTTGAGTCCCCAGTGCTCTCTGGATGTAGATGAACTACAACTCCCAAACTCAAGGTCAATGCCCACCAAACCTGTCTAGTGTTTTCTGTTGGTCATGGAAGTCCTGCTTGCCACATTTGGTTCAATTCCATTGTTGATGGAGTTCAAAATGCTCTTTGATTGTAAGTAAACTAAAAATCCCAGTAACTACAACTCCCAAATGAGAAAATCAATTTTTTGAGTGACAGTCACTCCTTGAGTTAGTAGGTGTCTTGTGGCCAAATTTGGCGGCAATTCGTCCACTGGTTTTTGAGTTATGTGAATCCCACAAACGAACATTATATTTATATAGATATAGCAGAGTTTCAGAAGTGTTCTTTTTGTTGCCCAAAAACATCTACTCTCTCTTAATCTATATTTACCTTTAAATCATGCTCTCAAGAGACAAAAGTAAGTAGACTTCTTAAAAAGTAACATAGTTGGTTTATTCACAAACTTCATGTATTCAGCATACAGGTACTTTGCATATCAATCCAGTTACAAATCCATTTGAAGTACTGTATATACTCGAGTATAAGCGTAGTTTTTCAGCTCCTTTTTTAGACTGAAAAAGCTCCCCTTGGCTTATACTTGAGCTAAGGTTATTAATTATTTTACTCTGATATTAGTATTATTTTTATTATATTTATGTTATTACTCTATTATTATTTTTATTACATTTATTATTTACTCTATTATATTTATTACTTTACTCTGTTTATTACATTTATTATTTTACTCTATTATTGTTATTAAATTTATTATTTTGCTCTCTTTATTATTCTTGTAAGGATACGTAAGCACATTTACATTGAAGGAGGCTAGAATAATGGTTTCATCAGAGCTGGACAGTCTTACATTACAGTGTTATGTAAATATTCAAAAATATTTGACCTACTGGTTCCTCAATTGATGTAATTTTATTGATATCTAATTTTATTTTGAAATTGACCAGTAGCTGCTGCACTTCCCACCCTTGGCTTATATTCGAGTCAATACATTTTCCCAGTTTTTGTGGTAAAATTAGATGCCTTGGCTTATATTCGGGTCGGCTTATACTAGAGTATATACGGTAGTTTCTCTGTGCAGGTAACAGGGCATCATTCATAGAATCAATAGCTTCTCTCTGGTTTGGGAGTCTAATAGAGTCGCTGCCTAGTCTGAAAGTCCAATGGAGTGTGCATAGTCTGAGAAAGCATACATCTGTTCCTCCTGAAGTCTCTAAGCAAAAACTGTTTCTAAAATGGAGTCTGAGTCCTGAACAAGCCCAGACCTGATCACATGGTCTGCAGCCCCTCCCACAACAAAGAGTTAAAGAAAAAGTACAAACCAATACAATATAGTAAGCAATCTGAATTATATACATAGCAATAACTAGTGGATGCTTAAAAAGGTTGCTATTTCTAACAAGAAGTCACAACAGCAAGCAATGAACAAAAAAGTATTGCATAGATTCCATTTTTGAGTGATTATCCCGCTGATTTATCGATGACTTGGAAAGTTACTCCCAGATCTCGGAGGTGCAATCCCCGCCGGGGTAGCGCATCTCTTTTGCCCGAGCCGGACCAAACGGTTCATGCCCGAAATCCACCAGGAATTCCCGGTTCACAGAAAGGCCACCCTTCACGGTGTCCACATTCAGCTGGACCATGACCGAACCTTCCCTGGAAAAGACATACGGGGTGAAAGTTAAGTGCTGCCAAGTTGTTTCCAACCCATGGACACCTTATCACACGACTTTTCAGGCTGGATGTGTACAGAGGCCTTCCTTTGAGGTGGAAAGAGTGCGACTCACCCACGGTCACTCTTACCTAATCAGCTTGGGGTAAAATTGTTTGTCCCAAGGTGTGAAAGAAGAGGTTGTGACGAAGAGACGAGTGCCATCTAAGCTCAGCTGCAGCGTATGAGGCCCTCCTTGGACCTTCTTGCCCTAGAGACAGTGTGGAAGAAATAGCCCCATGGAAACATGTCAAAAGGACTAGAAACACGGAACGGGCAGTTTTCTCTGCAGGTCTTCTCAAAATAAAGTCAAGGAGCAAATTCAAGACGAGTATCGGATTTGGAAGGCCAGATTTCTATGCAACCTCTTCCCATTTTGATCTGTCTCCAAATCCCAAATCTGTCTGGTCCATCATTGACCTTACCGCCCCGAGTCCCCTTGGGGAGATAGTGGCAAGGTATAAATAAAGTTTTTTTAAAAATATATATATTGTTATTATTGTTACCTGGATCACAAAGGGATCGGGTTGGCAGTCCAGCTCCGGATCCTCAAGGACAGTTACAGGACCCCCTTTCTGAAGGCTGCCCCCCACAAACACCTAAAGATCCCAAAGAGACATGGTCAGTAGAGCAGTAAAAATAACAGTGTCAAATAAATTGGAGTCTCTGGGCTGGGACACCAGTCCCCATCATCCTGTGCCAGCAGGTTGCTGCGATTGACGGGATCCACCATCTGGAAACTTATAGTTAGGGAAGGTTGGAAGCTTACCTGCCCAACCAGTTTGGGACAGTGTGGGTTGGTGATATCATATTGGCGGACATCGCCATGCATCCAGTTGCTTGCATACAGGAACCGGTCATCCATAGAAATGACAATATTCTTAGTGAACCCTGAAGGAGGAAGAGGAGGAGGAGGAGGATCATTGAGTTACAGGAAGCCTCAAAGGCCGTCCAGATCTTCTAATACCTTCTGCCAGGTTAGAAGACACAACCCAGGCCCTCCCAACATAAAGCCATGTAGCCTCTGCTTCGAAACCTCTGGAGAAGGAGGCTCCACTATACTCAGCTGTGACCAGCAGTGCTGCGGAATTTGAAGAGGCATGAATGGAGGGCGAAAGGCAGAAATGTGCCAAGAGGAAAGAGCATCAAGTCAACTCTGACCACGACTGCCTTCCACCTGGAAGCCAATGTCCTCACTGTGGAAAAACATGCGAGTCAAGAATAGGGCTCTACAGTCGTGTACATATCGACTGCCAAGACACTACACATGGAAGGCCATCATACCTGGACAACGAGGGATTGCCTAAGTTAGTAAGTAATAAGCAAAACTACAGTTCCAATTTGCTGCTTTCTTGTTACTAACCTGGTATTTCAGGATAGATCCATCCTGATACTTTCTTGTTCGGGACTTGGATCACTTTCTCAGCCGTCCAGCATCCATCCTGCAGGGAAAACCAAAATGACCGGTGAGGTGGTCATAAAAATGGATGTCCTTCCCACGTTTTTTCTTGGAGAGGGGTTTGCCTTTGCCTCGGTTTCCATAGCTCAGTAGGGACCCAAACCCAGGTCTCAAGGCACCAAGCCATTAAACCATCCTGGCTACCGGCAACCAATCAACTTGCCTCATGGCCACCCTTTCCCCTTGTCACCTCTGTTTTGAAGAAATGGTAGATGGAGCTCTCCAGAGGGCAGGCCACAAAACCATGGACCGAGTTGGGGTTGTGTAAGAAACGGATCTCCATCGGGGCCAAATCTTCACCCAGGTCAATTGACTGGAGGAGGCGGTGGGTGGTCAAGTCCCAGATGTTGAGGTGACGGCCATAGCGCCCTGTGGACGGACAGGATCCAGGATTACTCCAAGGGAGGTTTGAAGAAAGCAGAATCAAGTAGGACTATGGCCTCCCTTGATTTTGACACTCTCCTCCTGTTGATAGAGTCTAGAATCGCATTGGCTTATTCCGCTGCCGCGTCACACTCTTGGTTCATGTTCAGCTTCTGATCTACTAGGACTTTTTGACCTCTTTCACATGGGTGCTCTTGTTCTGTCTTCCAGGAGCTTGGTTTGCATTGTCTTTTAGCTGCATGCGATAGCATTCCTTTGCATTTCCCCAGGGTTGCTACAGACCCAGCAGCACCCTGGAAGTTAAACAGTATCAGAGTCTGGAAATCCAGGCTGCAGACCCTCTGCAGTTATTGGTTTAGAAAGTATCTCTTTGGGTTTGGAGTCCGCCCTTTTTCCTGGGGTTGAGATCTCCATTTTGGAATCTCCCCTGCTTCCTTCAGTAGAGAAAGGAGCCTCAGATGTGCTGTTGGTCAGGCAGGTAGCTCTGAAAAACCCATTGTGAGTACAATTGTGTAAAATTAAGAAATTGAGTCATAGATAGAAATTGAGTTATTAAGAAAGGCAACTGAGATAAAGAGAAGCTTATTGAGATACTATAGTTATTGAAGAAAGCTATTGAGTTATTGAGTTATAGAGAGAGATATTAAGATATTGAGATAGTAATTGAGAAATTGTTATTGAGTACTATTGAGCAGTACTTCATCTCCAAAGCTGACCTTGTGCTTAGATAGGGCAAGACCTGTTCTTTCTAACAATAGCAGCTCAGGGTTAGGGTGAAATATCTCAGGATTTTTTCTACCATTTGGAGAAAGGTTACCTCAGTAATTGAAGAAAAAGGGAAAGAAAGAACATCTCTATGGTTTCTCAAATTGACTGTTTGTGTTGTAACTTTATCAAGCTGTGCCAAGTCTGCCAAGGACTTTGAAAATAAATACTTTGTTGATGTGCATATCTTGACCAGCATCGGTTGCTGAAAGTATTGAGTTATTGCTTCAAAGTAAAACCCCCAGCAGTTCTCCTAGATAAAGAGAGAAGCACATCTTAGTTTTAACGTTATAGGGTCTGGGTGTGACGGCACAGCTCTTACCTTTTCTCAGATTGTCCGTGCTGAACCCATTGATAATAAACTTTGGCTCCCCCACTTCGGTGCTGATCAGGACGTTGTGTCGCGGCTGGAACCAGAAGTCACACACCTGGCCGGGTCTATCTTCTGGACACTCCCAGGTCCCTTCCACTTCCCAGGTTTTCGGGTCCAGAAGGAGAAATCCACCTGGGCGGAAAAAAACAGATGCCACTGAAATCAGAAGGCAATGCGTTTGCAAAGAGCAATGTTATGATTTCTATCCTGCTTTCGCCCCAATGATTTGGGATTCAAAGCAGGTTACCTAGTAGAATAGTGGCAGGTTTAGGGTTCCTTTGTCTGCTTTCCCCCTATTGTGGAGGGCGAATTGTATTCCCAAATGGGCATCTATGCCTGCAGTACCTCTTCTGTTGCCAAATGCGTCTCCCATGGCGCTGATCATGACCTTCCCGCTGCCTAAGCAACGCGAGCTGTACAAGAAACTCAGGTTGCATTTCTTAATGATTTCTCGGGGTTCGATAACCTGCCGAGAGGTTGGGGAGAGAGAAAATAGGTGTTTGAATCATTCCGTCCCGTGTAAGTCCCATTTCCTTAAAATCTAGGTGCATTTTTATATTATTTATTATTTATTTATTTATAGTACTTACATTCCACTCTTCTCAGGGCGGATCACAGAACATATACACGGCAGACATTAAATGTTGATTATACAATGACAAGACAGACAATAGATAGAGGTATATATAGGCTTTTTCTCATCATTTGGCATCTTTTGGAGGCTGTGCTTGTTTCTAGCCACAGGGGGGTGCTGTCACTCCATCTCCTTTCCAAAGAGCTTTCTTTGTTCGTAACCTTTCCTCCGAAACGCCGTGCCAAAAATGCTTCCCTGCTTAATGCGGTTCCTATTCATCTACTTTGTGTGTTACTGCTTATATGTTAGTTATATTATTTGTATTGTTGTATTTGCTTGCTTGCTTTGTTGTTGTACTGATGTATTTGTTGGGCTTGGCCTCATGTAAACCACCCCGAGTCCCCTTGGGGAGATGGTGGTGGGGTATAAATAAAGATTATTATTATTATTATTATTATTATTATTATTATTATTTTATTTAGCTTTTTGCTTGAAAATGGTGTGATACACTAGAGTGGTAGATCAATCTGGATCTTTATGGAGATTGACTGTAGATTCCTTTGCA